TCAATGATTCACTGTCCAAAACCTTCCTCTGCGTTCAGCGATCACGTTTGCTTTCCCACACAGCAACACGGCAGAGCCGAGGCATCGCCTGTCCTCAGAACCAAAGAGCTCGGATCAGGACGGGCTCGGCGCCGGATGCGTGGTCATCGTGATCGGTGAAACACAAGAAGCTAAAGGACGAGTGAGCCAGCGAGGACCTAAACATCACAGATCTGCAAAGAAACGAAGACACAGAGGAGCTCGACGGCATCATCTACCACAGAGTAACATTTCAAATCTATGAACTGTTCGTAGTTTCAGCGTCAGAGTCACGATCGTCGCTGTTACTGAGGGAAACGCCCTCACGCTGGTGAAGAGCGAGGGTTCGGCTTCTTCAGTGTGGAACAGACTGTGAAGGAAAGCCGTCTGACAGAGCTGCGGTGACAGGAAGTGGCGGCTGATGAAGTCTGGCGTTCAGGCCATTTTCCCGCTGAGCCGTGCTCCTCTCCTCTCAGTACATGAGGTCGGCCGCCCCGCCGCTCAGCTCCACCTCTTTGTTTTGTTGAAAGGGAAACTGGATTCCCGCCAGTCGGACCAGCAGGGCGTTCAGTCCCTGAAGGAGGAAGATGAGGAAGAAGAGCCAGAAGCATCGGTCGTAGCGCTCGGTGTACGTCTGGAAGATGAAATTCCCCTCATTGAAGTTGGCGATCCGCTCGGACAGACGACTGAGCTTTACCTCCGACACAAACAGGACCATGACGAGGCAGCTGCCGACACCTGCAGGAAACACAGACAGGAACCATCAGGCTTACCTCTGACCTCTGACCCCATCACCCTTAGACACCACCTCCACCTCTGAGAAGGCCAGAGGAGGCGAACCAGACGCCACAACAGAAGGAGTGATGATGTCATCAGAGGAGCTCAGGCGGTGAAAATAAAACCCGTGATGGAGCTTATGGTAACGTGGCTCAGCTGAGCTCAGGTCACATGACTGACAGGCGTCTCCAGTCTGTGCATCACTGGTTCCCCATCCAGGGTTTGGACCAACCATCCAACTGTGAGGAGCACAGGCTCCAACACTGCAGTTCCTCCCCCGTCCAGCGGGGGCAGCAGTGAGTTCGTCCACACAGACCGCTGCGTTAAGATGCTTCAGCCTGATGCATAAGCTGTGTGGTGTCTGTGAATATTGAGCCCTCGTAACACCTGTTTCTACTACACACCTGCATAAACTGTGTTAAGGTTCAAGTTTGCATCGTTAGGGGCGTGGCCTCAGACAGGTGCCGTGGCGGCCTGCTAGGCTCCTGCGGGCCTTTGTGAGTGAAACTGGAGTATTTGTGGGGACGCTGCCCGGCACTAATTGGGGTCTGCGGTTGCAGGCACACATTGGACGGGCCGATTAAGTGAAATGAACCCGGAGAAGGAGGAAATGAGCGGAGGATCGTTGGGTCTTAATGCTCGGCCAGGCCGCCCCCCGCCTGCTTTATCCCTCTCCTGCCCTGGGCTCTGTTATCAGGCTGTTTGTCTGTGATCCTCTCCGAACTCATTTCAGACCATCCATATTTTATATCTCGTTACAGGCTCACAGGGAGCCCGCCAACTGTCCCAGCATGCATTTCAGTGACACTGTCCTTCCTCTGCCCCCCCCCATCTCTAACAGTCGTGCTTTTGGTCGTATTTTAGCGAACAGCTGTTCTTATCTTATCAGCCCTTCTTCAAATGATGACGTATTTGGCTGTGCTGGGGGCAACCGTGAGGACGGTTATCTTTGACACACGTTACAGTACAAACAAAAGCTTCCCGTGGACTGGCAGGTGAAGCTGTGAGGGTGTGGTTCTCACAGGTGATGAAGGTCCACAGGTAAAGTCCCACGGGGCCTTGCAGCGTCTCGTAGGGTCTGCCGAAGGCGTTGAAGAAGAAGAAGCCGGTGGCCACGGAGGAGAAGAGTGTCACAACACCACAGAAGAAGATGACGGTGACGTGGAGGCCCGTGGGGATGGCACTCAGGAGGTCAGGAAAGACTGGAAGACATCAAGAGACAGACCTGCAGTGAGAGGCGTGTCCGGTCTGCAGCGACCACAGAGGTCACCGAGCCTCGGGACACACAGCCAGCACTTCCTGTTAGAGGGTCAAACAGCAGGGCGAAGACACGCTGACACAAAGCAGACGAGACCGACACAGGAAGAGACAGAAACATGAAAAACAGAATCAAGAGCGCCAACGTGACAGAAAATCTTCTGTAAACTCACAGAGACAGGAAGTGTGCAAAACAGACACAAGAAGTGAACATTGTCAGATATTTAATAAGAGATTTAAAACCAGAGAACACGAGCTGCTGGAACCTGGAGCGTGCTCCACCTCCCCACTAAGTTCAGCTGTGACAGTAACACCCCCACTGCTGGAACACCCACGAAGGCTGACAAACGTCCCACAGAGACGCTGACGTGAAACAAAAAGCTCTGCACTGAAGCAGAGACGCAGGTCCTGCAGGGACAGAGCGGCTTTGTCTCTGCTCGCAGATCCCACGCAATCAGGCGGAAACCTCATTAGTGCCGCGCTGCCCAGGACCTCAGAGGGAGCTGCTTCCTGTCCCAGCGCTCAGAGTCACGTGACAAATGTTTATTCGCCCGTTTGGAAAAGATTATCTGACAGTGGCTTCACATCTGCAGCTGTATTCATTTAACCTTTAATTAACCTTATTTATGAAGGACGCCTGCTGCTGGCCGTGTGTCCGAGCCAATGAGACGAGCTCAGCCTGCGTGACTGTGACGTTCACGCACAGTCACGCAGGCAGAGCTCAGCGTTTGTCTCAAATCAGCATCAGGGTTCAGAAATCATTTTTCTGCCACCCCGGTGACAACAGAGCTCCGGCTCCAAAACCCCCAATGCAGAAATGCTGATGCTGATCCTGGTCTGGGTCCTGGTCTCAGTCCTGGCTCTTCAGTTTATGGAGTTCTGGTTACTATGAAATCTCATCTGTTTGACATCTTGAACTTTTTCAGTTTGCTGTCCCAACTGAATCATTTATTTTTATAGTTTTTTTCAGCTGAAATATTTTCTGTCACAACAATAATGTGATGACAGCAGTCACTGCAGATCAATGAACAGGGTTATTGATTAACCTGATTATTATTAATGCAGAGTTGTTGATAGAGCCGTGAGCAGACTCGCAGCAGCTCGTGCGTGAATTACTGCTCGTGCGCATGCATCATCGGCGATCACTCACAGGAGAAGCGCGCCGCGCGGCCCCCCAGCCCGCACTGCTTCACGCGCTGTCCGTGGAACAGCCCGTAGCTCAGCTCGCCCACGAACTTGTCCAGCTCGGCCCCGGTGGCGTTGACGAGCTCGGCCCCGGTGCGGCACAGCACGGCCCCGCGGAGCCAGAGTGGCAGGCCGGTGGCCACCGCGGCCGTGAGCGCACAGGAGAGGCCGAGGAGCCCGCACACGGAGAAGAGGAGCTGCTTCTGTCTGCCCGGCATGATGGAGGAGGAGGAGCCGGGGGAGGAGGCCACCACCACAACGCCCCCGCCTCCACCTCCGGGAGGAGGGGGGACCGCGGGAAACGTCAGGTGCCAGTGCACACCTGCGCTGGGTCCATGGCAACAAGGGCTCGGTTTACAGCCAGGAGGTTCGAGTTCTCATTAAAGACGAAGCACGAGACTGTGATGCGCGCGCCCGCAGCAGACTCATCTTTCTTTCACAGCAACCTTACTGCTGAGCGCGGTTTGTGGTCACGTGGGACCTTTTTCAGCCTAAAACCGGCTCTGTGACATATCACGGAGGTGGACAGGAAGTGATGCTGAAATATTCAGATAACGTCTGGAATAAGACTGAAACAGAGGCGGGGAAGGTTTCAGCACACCTGAGTCACATGAGCTCATCACCATGCCTCTGCAGAACTTTTTAATTTAGCCTTTTAAATCAGCTGAAAACTCTAAAACCAGGCTGCGGCCTGGAGTTCCTGACCACTGGTCTAACAGGTAAAACACTGAGAACGGAAGTGAGTGACTGGAGCAAGAAGCAGGAGATATCGCCATCTTTTACATCCAGTCTGTTTTCTTCTATGACACTGTTACACCCCGGCCTAGGCAACCGGAGTGCAACACGAAAAAAATAGAAATAAGGGAACAAAGGCCCCCAAGGTCACTGCTCTTAAGGAGGGCGAACTCATAAAAAAGACTAATACGGGCTAGCGCCCGCCTCTCTCTGCGCAGTGACCTGCTGGGGGAGCAGATCCACGGACAGGAGCAGGGTTGACAAACTGGTGCGGAGATCTAGCTCTGTGCTGGGATGTCCTCTGGAGTCTGTGGAGGTGGTGGGCGACAGGAGGATGTTAGTAAAGCTGACATCCATCATGAACAACCCACACCACCCTCTGCATGAGTGTGTGAGTGGGCTGAGCAGCTCCTTCAGTCACAGACTGAAACGCCCTCACAGATCAGTCAGCAGCAGTTAGCCTCCTCGATCATGATGTCATGAGTCACGTGGACAACCACAGTCACCGCCACATGGATAATGCACCTTATATGTATGGACGTGTGCATGTGTATATATATGTGTATATTTGGTGTGTATGGATGTATGTGTATTTGTACGTGTGTTTGCACGTACATATCTATCCTTATGGATTTCTTAGATAGAAGAATAGCTGAAATGAATTTCTTGCATGTTTTTCTCCGTCACACACACTGTTTGTGCGTGTACATAGAACCTCAGTTACCGTGGTATATATTGTATTATCTTATTGATTTTGTATTTTTGGGCTTTGTATTCTTCTGCTCTCTGTACCTGAGCTGTGGGAACGCACGCATTTCCCCGCCGTCAGGTCAATAAAGACTCATCTTATCTTACTTCTTAACAAAGAGGTTTTATTGTGTAAAACCACAGGAAGTGTCTGTGCTGTCATTAGTGCTTTTACTGTGAAAAGACATGTGAGGAAAACGCTGAGGGTCTTCAGGTGAGCTAATGATAGGTCACGTGTTTTTCCTTCGTGCCAGAGGCTGATGTACTGCAGTACTGCATGTAAAAGTACTTTGACTGCGCCACTGTTACACAGGCCGGATGTACTTTTTACTTTTACAAGTGTACATCTCTTAAATCGGGTCTTTTCTGACTGGACTCTGGCAGCTGCTGCAGTCAGGAAACAGGAAGTTGATTAACTGTGACGTAAAACAGCTAAACAAACAAACGGACTTCAGTACAAAAAGAATCACTTTGAGCCCCAGAGGGCGCTGCTGTTCCTCCAGGCTGCTTCGGCATGGCACGTGATGACGTAAGCCTCTCAGTATACGTCACGCCGGGGTGAAACCCGGGGGTCGGTGTCCGGAGGAGCACAGAGGAGCGGAGGAGCCGCCGAAGGAGCTGAGAGGAGCTGCCACGTCCAACATGAGGTAAGGAGTTTCGGGTCACGTGATTGCAGGTTCTTGTAGTCGGTGCTGATCAGGATCGATACTCAGACTCACTGACGGACGCGGTGTAGCGGAACTCCAGGTGATCAGGTGTCATAAACGCGCCGCGGGGGCGTGGTCCCGCAGCTCAGCGCTCACGCAGGTGGAGGTGATGAAGAGGGAGGATGAAGGTTTGTGCGCTTGGGTCTCAGAGTGAAAGGAGCTGCGGGCCACTGCTGGCTCTGTCATCTGATTGGAGGAGATTTTACCGTTCAAGTATGTCTGTGAAGGTTCTCAGTCCTCCAGGTCATCGTGGTCTAAGGAGCTTGCAAAGAAAAGCGTCTGGACTTCTTTAAGTTGCTTGAAGACGTTTCACCTCTCATCCGAGAAGCTTCTTCAGTTCTAAGGTCAAATGGTGGAGAGTCCCAGATATAAACCTAGCGGGAGTATCCCCCCCACAGAGGGACAAAAGGACCCCCTGATGATCCTCTAATCGCCTGAGCCAAGGTGTGAAACCGGGTGTGGGTCCCAATCAGCCAGAGTTTCAGGTGAGCTTACTGTGAAGGTGGGGGTCAGGTTTCACAATGGCACAGAACTGAAGAAGCTTCTGGATGAGAGGTGAAACGTCTTCAAGCAACTCAAAGAAGTCCAGACACTTTTCTCTGTAAGCTCCTTTGACTAGTGCTCAAGTACAAAACAAACAAATATTTCCTAAAATGTGTTTGTTTTTAAAATTTCAAATGTTGTGTAACAAGAGTTTGTTTCCAATCTCTTAACCAGTGTTGGTAATCGATTACATTACTGCCCATCTCTGCTCTTCACTAACACATGGGTCTGTGCACACACACGCAGCACTGCGGCTGTCGTTGTGTTTGTATGCAACAAACTGCACATAAGTGCGTGCATGAGTTTGTGAGTCTGTCACTGCACTCACACAGCCTCAGCATGTTTGTGCTCTCTGCTCATGTTGGCTTCAGATTCATCTTTTTTGGCTTTTTAAAGAACTTATTTTAACAAAAAGTCACTTCAGGGGTCAAAGTGCATTATATTTCTGCACATCAAGGTACGGGCAGCGAGTGGCCCCCAGGCCACGGTTTGAGACCCCTGGGTTAGGGTGTGAGTTTACTGTAGTGGCTGCACACGTCACTGAAACCGAGGAACAGCTGAAGCAAAGCGGTTATAAAATGTGAAACTATCATCGGCCGGGCGTTTCCTTTCCAACATCCAGCGAGCAGCAGATGCCTCGCTAAGGTCAGAGGTCAGGAGAGCGGACAGGCTGCTGATAGGAAGCAGCCTTTCTGGAACCTGACTGACGTCCAATCAGGTGCTAACCAGCTGTACCAAATAAAGTGTCAGGGGGGCAAGGCAAGTTTATTTGTATAGCACAATTCAACAACAAGGTGATTCAAAGTGCTTTACAGAGACATTAGAAACAAGAACAAATAAAAGCATGATTTAAAATTGATTAAAACAAACAAACAGAACAGTAGATAAAATCAGTAGTTAAAATGTAAGTTTTGAAATTTAAGCTTAAAAGTAAAACAGTGTGTATTTGGTGCTTTATTCAAATGCAGCTGAGAACAGGTGAGTCTTCAACCTGGATTTAAATAAACTGAGTGTTTCAGCTGATCTGAGGCTTTCTGGGAGTTTGTTCCAGATATAAGGAGCATAAAAGCTGAATGCAGCTTCTCCGTGTCTGGTTCTGACTCTGGGAACTGATAAAAGACCGGATCCAGATGACCTGAGGGATCTGGAAGGTTCATGCTGGGTCAGGAGGTCATTGATGTATTTTCATTCATTCATTTCATTCATTTATTTGTTCATTTCCAGGCACAACAAATACCGATATTGAACATAAAATGCACAAAACAAAAAACAAAAATTGCCTGAAAAAGGAGTGGGACGAAGAAAACTTATTAAATCCCACCCCTATACTCACTCATCAACAAAAAAAACAAACTTCCCGCAGCTACGCCCATCATTGCATACAGACCCATCAACAGCCCCGGGCACATACAAGCATCTAAACTGCAGCTCGCAAACAACAATTAGAGCCTTCATAACTGAATACAGAATATATAAATTATAAATTGCATTACCACAGGTAACAGGCAGTAATAACTACAAGTAACGAACATACACACACACATACATATACATACATATATATCTACACACACATGTACATATATGTACATACATACGCACACTCTTTTTTTTTTTTTTTTGGAATCCATACCAGCAATGGTAAGAGGACAGACATTACAGAGCACACTAAAAGCATCATTGAGTATACTGTGACCAGACCAACTGTTTGTAGAGGAATTTAAATCTATGAATATTTTTGCATTGTTTCAGTTGTAAACTCAGACTGTTCCAGATTTTCACACCACATACACACACACAAAAACCTTTACGGGTTGTTCGAGTTCTAGGTAATTTGAATTCTCCAAATCCTCTCACATTATAAACCTTTTCTCGAATTTCAAATCTAGTTTGTAAATTTGCCAGTAAAAGTTTAGTAAAAGCTTTATACAAAATTATGGATGTATTGTAATTAACCAGATCCTGGAATTTAAGTAACTTTGCCTGAAGAAAGAATTTGTGAGTATGATCTAGATAACCAGCCTTGTGAATAATACGCAGTGCTCGTTTCTGTACTGTGACTCATGGATTAGTTGTATTTTTATTTCCCCACACTTCCACACAATATATAAGATATGGAAGAACCAGAGTACAGTACAGAGTACGAAGTGCATCTTTACCAAGGTATGGTTTCACTTTGTTCAAAACTGCGAGGCTTCTGGAAATTTTGGTTTTTATGTGTCTGACGTGGGGTTTCCATGAAATTTTGTTATCAATTACGACTCCCAAAAATTTGTTTTCACTCACGTTATCAATTGGTACACCTTCAATGATAATTGGTAATTCTATATTATATTTTAAATTACCAAAAAACATTGCTTTAGTTTTATTTATATTTAATGATAATTTATTTATGTCCATCCATTTTTTTATTAATTTTAGCTCCCTGTTTACGGTCATTACAAGATCAGTATAATCATCGCTACTGAAAAATATGTTGGTGTCATCTGCGAACAGTATGAGTTTAAGTACTTGAGAAACATCAAAAATATCATTTATGTATACATTGAAAAGTTTTGGTCCCAACACTGACCCTTGGGGAACACCACATGTAATACCAAGTTTCTCTGAATGGTAATGCCCTATGCTAACATATTGTTCCCGACCCGTTAGGTAACTTTTTAACCAGTTACCAGCTTTCCCTCGAATACCATATCTTTCCAATGTATCCAATAAAATTGAGTGATTGATTGTGTCGAAGGCCTTTTTGAGGTCAACAAAAATACCAACTGCATATTTATTTTTATCCAGTGTATCAGTAATTTCTTCTACTGCCTCAATTATCGCCATTGAAGTGGTTCTTTGCGTTCTGAAACCATACTGACCAACATTTATTATTTGATGTTTTTCAAGGAATTTTTCTAATCTTGAATTAAAAAGTTTTTCTAGAATTTTTGAGAATTGAGGCAGTAGAGAAATAGGCCTATAATTGGTAAAACTGTGTTTGTCACTACTTTTATATAGTGGTATTACTTTCGCAATTTTCATTTTTTTTGGAAAACAACCGGACTGAAATGATAAATTACAGATATATGTTAAGGGACTAGCAATATTCAGAATGACCTGTTTAACTACAGACATATTTATGTCATGATAATCCATTGAAGACTTACTTTTACATTCTAATGTGATATTTATTACTTCTTGCTCATTTGTAGCTGAGAGGAACAGTGAAAAGGGATTTGATTTTATATTACTGATATTTTCATTTTTATGACACGGGATGTCCGCTGCTAGTTCCGGGCCAACATTTATGAAGAATTTATTGAACCCATCGACAATATTACTCATGTTGTGATTTTCACCATTTGCATCAGTAAAATATTCAGAATATGATGTTCCAGAAGATCCTTGTTTAATTAAGTTGTTTAACACATCCCAAGTTCCTTTTATATTGTTTTTATTTTCATATAATCTTCTTCTATAATAAAGTTGTTTGCTCGTTCTTATAATATCAGTCAATTTATTTCTATATGCTTTATATCTTTGTTCCACTTCTTTTGTTTTTACTTTGATAAACTGTTTATACAGATTGTTTTTCTTTTTGCAAGCATTAATAATTCCTTTTGTGAGCCAAGGACTTTTTATCTTTTTTTTCTTTGTCATGTGTTCGTTTACAGGACAATGTTTATTGTACCACATAGTAAAAATATCTAGGAAATTGTCATAAGCCTTGTCCACATCTGACTCTTCATACACCGAACTCCATTTTGGTCCTAAACCATTCAGAGCTTTATAGGCCAGCATCAGAACTTTAAAGTCTATCCTCTGACGGACAGGCAGCCAGTGTAAGGACCTCAGAGCTGGACTGATGTGGTCCACTTTTTTGGTCTTAGTGAGGACTCGAGCAGCAGAGTTCTGAATGAGCTGTAGTTGTCTGACTGATTTTTTAGGTAGACCTGTAAAGATGCTGTTACAGTAATCAAGCCTACTAAAGATGAATGCATGGACTAGTTTTTCCAGGTCCTGTTGAGACATCAGATCTTTTATCCTTGATATATTCTTGAGGTGATAGTAAGCTGACTTTGTTATTGTCTTAATGTGTTTTTCTAAGTTTAGGTCTGCATCCATCACTACACCCAAATTTCTCGCCTGGTTTGTGGTTTTTAGATGTATAGATTGAAGTTCTCTGGTGACCTGTAATCGTTTTTCTTTGGCGCCAAAGACTATTACTTCAGTTTTGTTTTTGTTTAGCTGGAGAAAATTGTGGCACAACCAGTCATTGATTTCCTCAATGCATTTACCAAGAGCCTGTACAGGGCCTCGGTCTCCTGGTGACATTGTGATATATATTTGTGTGTCATCTGCATAGCTGTGATAGTTTATTTTGTTGTTCTTTATAATCTGTGCCAGTGGGAGCATGTAAATGTTAAACAGAAGGGGTCCCAAGATGGAACCTTGGGGAACTCCACATGTGATGCTTGTCTGTTCGGATGTGAAGTTACCTATTGATACAAAGTATTTCCTGTTTTCTACGTATGTTTTGAACCAGTTTAGTACAGTTCCTGAAAGACCTGTCCAGTTCTCCAGTCGTTTGAGTAATATGTTGTGGTCAACTGTATCAAATGCTGCACTGAGATCCAGTAAAACTAGAACTGACATTTTTCCACTGTCTGTATTCAGACATATGTCATTAAACACTTTGGTCAGAGCGGTTTCAGTGCTGTGGTTCTGTCTAAAACCTGACTGGAAGGCATCGTAGCAATTATTCTGTTTTAAGAAGTAACTGAGCTGTTGAGAAACTGCTTTTTCAATGATCTTACTTAAAAACGGGAGATTTGAGATCGGCCTGTAGTTTTTCATTTGTGTCTTGTCAAGATTGTCCTTTTTCAGTATAGGTTTGATTACAGCAGTTTTTAGTGATTCTGGAAACACACCTGATAATAAAGAAAAGTTGACGATCTGTAACAGGTCTGACTCTAAAGTCTTTGAGACCTTTTTGAAAAAACTTGTTGGCAGGACATCTAAACAGCAGGAGGAGGAGTTCAGTTGACCTAAGATGTCCTCCAGGTCTTTGCTGTTAATAGGGTCAAACTGTTTCATGGGGTTTAAACAGTTTTTTGGTGGACACAGTACATATCCTGGATCTGCTGTTGATGTACCAATTGCTTGTCTAATTTTTTGGATTTTGTCTGTGAAGAATTTGGCAAAGTCATTGCAGGCCATGGTCGAATGAAGTTCAGCTCAGCTTTCCTACACTCTCTTTTTTCTTTTTTCACCAGTGTGGAGTTTCTCCATGGAGACTTTTTCCTTCCAGAGATAACCTTCACCTTAATGGGAGCAATAGTGTCCATTACATTTAACATGTTAGCATTGAAGCTATTGACGAGCTCATTGACTGACCCTCTGGGCAGGTCAGGTGTTAATGGGAAGACCTGGTTAAAGATCTCACTACTGTCTTCAGTTATACACCGTTTTGTGATCACTGCTGTTGATATATTTATGTGGGCTGAGATTTTACTTTCAAAGAAAAAGGGCGTGTTTACTGATGGTGCTGGGTGGGAGCAGGCTTTCACTGAGCATGTGCAATAGGAACAGGCTGGTGTGCGTGTAACGTTCGCAGAAGGATGCGTGCGGGCCTGGTCCCAGGCCTCTGATGAGGAGGGGGCCGGACCTCTGTGACGTCCTGACGAGTGTCGCTTTGCTTCCTCTCAGACTCATCCTCATCTCGCTGCTCTTCTCGCTCGGACTCGGTGCTCAGCAGCTGTCGCTGTCGGGGATGTACGGCAGCCTGTGCTCACCAAACTTCCCGGAGCCGTATCCCCGGGACATGCAGCTGCGCTGGAACGTCAGCGTTCCTGACGGCTTCCAGATCAAGCTCTACTTCAGCCACTTCGACCTGGAGCCGTCTTACCTGTGCGAGTACGACTACGTCAAGGTGAGACACAGGATGCCAGTTTTTGGTGTGTGTGTGTGTGTTTGCGCGCCACAGTGATGTCACAAACTATGGTTCTCTGTCTGCAGGTGGAGGCTGAGGGGGAGGTGCTGGCGTTGTTCTGTGGGAAGGAGCAGACGGACACGGAGGCGGTGCCGGCTCAGCAGGCCCTCACTTCCCCCAGAAACTCCCTCAGCCTCCTCTTCTCCTCCGACTTCTCCGACGAGGAGCGGTTCTCCGGGTTCGTGGCTCACTACAGCGCCGTGGGTAAGAACCAGACCCAGCCCGCCCGAGCAGACGGGTTCGGTCTCTCGCCATGACGTCTCCTCTGGAGCCGGAGTTTGGACCTTCAGGTGTTCATCGGAGTTCTGCTCGGTGCTGGTCTGAAGGTGGGACCGAGCAGAACTCTGACGAGCAGTGAGCGAGTCTGCGGACTTCCTGTTTCAGTGCGACTCAGTTTCAGAGGTCACCTGACAAAAAGGCGCAGTTTGTTTGCGTTTCTCATCTGATGCTTGTTTCCTGTCTCCTCTGGTCCCGCCTCTGGCCCCGCCCCTCTAGACGTAGACGAGTGCAGCGAGCGGAGTGGCGAGGACGCGCTCTGCGATCATTTCTGCCACAACTACATCGGAGGATACTACTGCTCCTGTCGCTATGGTTACCGGCTGCACTCTGACAACCACACCTGCAGAGGTGAGCGCAGACATCGGCTCGGGTGTCATAATCCACAGCATCCACAGCTGATTGCTCGCGTTCATCCACAAGTACAGTAGCGTGCGCTGCGGGGCTCTGCTTTCCAAAGATATGAGCCCCACATGAACCACGGGTGGGGGAGGAATGTGTGGGTCCTCACGTGTCCTGACAGATCAGTGCTGTGGACCGTGACCCCGCTGTGACTGATAGCGGCGCCTGATCGGTGGTAAATATTTGCGTGTTTCTGTGTGGGGGAGGCAGGCTCTGTCTGAGTTCTGCCTGTGCGTGTTCACGTCTGAGGGTTTGCTACAGAGCGACGACCTCTCGGTGACCTCTGACTGATTACAGAACCATTATAACACAACACACTGAGTGTGCAAAAGTCTTGAGTCTCACCTCTTTTCTTTGCTTCCGGTTAGCCACGCCCCTTTAATGTCTCATATTTTTTCCCCTCCCAAACATGGATGCAACAAATATGATACAAAACACAGATATACAAATGAGTATTTAATCCACTGTGATCGTTCAGGAACATCTGGAAACATCTGACTATCAGCATGACAACAGTGCAAACACAAAGCTGTGCATTAAAGCACAGCTGGATAGAAACACACAAGCCTGTGAGAGCCGGACATCAGTGTGGGAAGAGCTCTGAGTGTCCTTCAGGAAGCCTGCAGATCCTCAGAGAGCAAATATACAAACTCAGTTTTTGACTCTGCGTTTCTGTGTGTGTGTGTGCTAAAATGCACTACTGTAAATGATGTATAGACAATCATTCTGTACAATACAATAATTATAGTTCTACAACTGTTTATTAATAGTAGCAATTGTATCTCTACAATCTCAAATAGTTTTCATATTTTAACCATATTTATATCCTGTTCATAGCTTGTACACTCACTGCAGCCAGTACATACTTAGAGCATATTCATAACATGCCTTCATACCGTGTACATTGTAACATACCTATAATAGATCCATATTTTGTAATATATCAATATTATTGCCAAAGCACTTTCTGGATGGATGCAAACTGCATTTCTGTTGTCTTGCACTTGTGACGTGTGCAATCACAGTAAAGTTGAATTCTATTCTGTTCAGTGGAGTGCAGCAGTGATGTGTTCAGGGAACGCTCCGGAGTTCTGAGCAGCATTGACTTCCCTGCTCCGTACCCAAAGAGCTGCGAGTGCTTGTACCGCATCGAGGTGGAGGATGGCTTCAGGCTCCGCCTCCAGTTTGACTCACACTTTGATGTGGAGGATCACCCTGACGTCAGCTGTCCCTATGACTACATTAAGGTGAAGAAAACACACACACAGACACACACTCGGGTGACGTGTTGGAGCTGTTAATCAGCTGTTTTCCTGTCAGATTAAAGCAGGAAGTGCTGTGTTCGGTCCGTTCTGTGGCGATCGATCTCCAGGAGTCATTCAGACCGACAGCAACGTGGCCTCCATCGTGTTCCACAGCGATAGCTCTGGAGAAAACCTCGGCTGGAGGCTCGGCTACACGGCTACAGGTGAGTCCATGTCCAGGTGATGCAAACAGACACACAGCTGGGAGTTATAGCTTTTATTGTCTCCTGACAGGAAGTCAATGTCCCGTGCCCAATACTCCGCCCAACGCCCTGATGAACCCCTTCCAATCAGAATACTTCTTTAAAGACCACATCCTGTTCACCTGTGAGCCTGGATACCACCTGCTGAAGGTAGGGGGCGTGTCACATCAGCTGAGTTTGGTCAACCCAAATGATGTTTAGTTTGTTTCAAAAACAGCGGTGCTGCGCACGTGAAGGAATGGGCCAGCGCACTGGCGTCCGTTTGACAGATCGAACTGTCAAACGGATCGGTCACGCAGAGCGCGAACGCGGCGTGCGTCCGAGCTATGCGCCACAGGTGTAGATCAACTGTGCGGGTCACATGGTCTGCAGTGATGCTGCTTGTTGCTAACCTGGCTGCGCTGTCTCTGCTCAGGACGGAGGTCACCTGGATCACTATCAGATCGACTGCCGGGCCGATGGATCGTGGAGCGACAGTCCTCCTCCGTGCCACAGTAAGACTGCTCGACCTTTGACCTCTCCAGAGTGTTTGTGTTTCAGTGTCTCCCGTGTTTGAGTCTGGGTTACTGCTGCTGCAACCTGTTTCCTGGAGCACACACGCCACCTGCTGGCTCTCTGCAGACTCTACAGGAGCGTCACAGTAGTGCTAGTTAGGCTTTCGTTTAGTAAACCTGAAGCTCCGCCTTTTCTGATGCTCTGTTAGTACAGTAGTGACCTCACAGCAGCCATGTTATTGGTCACATGATGTCATTAAAAGGCTCCAACAGCACAAACACGGCCCACGGGTCCAGCTCAGGTGAAGTTAGTAGCTACAGCCACCTGTGTCACCATCCACGTGTCAGTCGCAGAGGCCACGCCCCTAATAATGCAAACAGGTGAGTTACGACTGACATGTTTATTTTACCACCGCGGGGAGGGGGGGACTGGCTGACCAGGCCGGTCGTGCTGTGGTAGGCAGGCACCGCCGTGGCGTCCTGCAGATCAGTTTTGAGACTGACAGGTAGCTGTCTGTGCAGGTGCTGAGAGACAGTTCAGGTCTGCTCACACACTTTCCTCTCGCTCTCGTTTCTCTGCAGACTCCAGGAGGAAGCCCAGCTCTCTGTCCAGCATCCGGACCAATCACAGCCTAGCTTAATGAGCAAGCCAGTCTCATTGGCTAATAAAGATACTGCAGGAGCGAACAGTGTTGATGTGTCTGTATTTTCCAATAAAGCGTAAAACCAGAAGCTTCTGTCGTGTGTCTGTGACTCACATTCAGGGATCGCGGCGCTGATGTGTTTCTGTCACACGTGTTCGCGTTCTTTGTCTCGATGCGTGTTCCCGTGACGCCCCCTTCAGGACACGCTGACTCTTCAGCCTGTCGGGTCTCACGTTACGTTGAGATGAGTTTCAGATTAAAATCACGTCACACTCACGTGTCTGGATCATTGGAACACGTCAGTTCTGATTCGTTGTCGCTGTCGGTCAGCTGTAGTTTGGTTCTGGCTCATTCTTCCTCCTTTCTGCTCAGACTCAAAGCTGATTGGTGTTTTTGTCCTGTCTGTCACAGTGGTGGATTGTGGGAGTCCAAAGATGGTCGACATGGCTGACGTGGTGTTTGGTAACCATGACAACAGCACACTGTTCGGTGCGACCGTTCAGTACGTGTGCAGGGAGGGCGGCGTCCAGCTTAACAGTAAGAGGTCTTCCTGTTTGGTTTCCTTCAGTGGTTGCTGTGCAGTGACAGCTCATCCGATTATTGGCTGAACCTTGTTGTTCCTCGAGCTCTGTGTCTGGTTGTAGTAAGGAAATGTTTTTATTCATTTTTATTATTTTGTTCTCATCTTTGGGCAATTTGCTCCTCATCTGTTTTTAAACATGTTGATAAAAACTGGACCTGCTATTGATAACCAGAGGCCTCCTCACACTCCGGTTACTGTTTGTAGCTTCATACAGGTGTGGTCTGAGTGGAGACTGGGTTGATTCAGAAGGAAGGAGCACAGTACCCACCTGTCTGCCAAGTACCTGCCCGTCTGCCTGTTCACCTGTCTGCCTGTTCACCTGTCTGTCTGTTAACCCGTCTGTCTTTTAACCCGTCTGTCTATTCACCTGTCTGCCTGTTCACCTGTCTTTCTGATAACCCGTCTGTCTGTTAACCCGTCTGCCTGTTCACCTGTCTGCCTGTTCACCTGTCTGTCTGATAACCTGTCTGTCTGATAACCTGTCTGTCTGTTCACCTGTCTTTCTTTTCACCTGTCTGCCTGTTCACCTGTCTGCCTGTTCACCTGTCTGTCTGTTCACCTGTCTGTCTGATAACCTGTCTGTCTTTTCACCTGTCTGTCTGTTCACCTGTCTGCCTGTTCACCTGTCTGTCTGTTAACCTGTCTGTCTGATAACCTGTCTGTCTGTTCACCTGTCTGCCTGTTCACCTGTCTGTCTGATAACCTGTCTTTCTTTTCACCTGTCTGTCTGTTCACCTGTCTGCCTGTTCACCTGTCTGTCTGTTAACCTGTCTGTCTGATAACCTGTCTGTCTGATAACCTGTCTGTCTGTTCACCTGTCTGCCTGTTCACCTGTCTGCCTGTTCACCTGTCTGTCTGTTAACCTGTCTGTCTGATAACCTGTCTGCCTGTTCACCTGTCTGTCTGTTCACCTGTCTGCCTGTTCACCTGTCTGTCTGATAACCTGTCTTTCTTTTCACCTGTCTGCCTGTTCACCTGTCTGCCTGTTCACCTGTCTGTCTGATAACCTGTCTGTCTGTTCACCTGTCTGTCTGATAACCTGTCTGCCTGTTCACCTGTCTGCCTGTTAACCTGTCTGTCTGTTCACCTGTCTGTCTGTTCACCTGTCTGCCTGTTCACCTGTCTGTCTGATAACCTGTCTGTCTGATAACCTGTCTTTCTTTTCACCTGTCTACCTGTTCACCTGTCTGTCTGTTCACCTGTCTGCCTGTTCACCTGTCTGCCTGTTCACCTGTCTGTCTGATAACCTGTCTGCCTGTTCACCTGTCTGCCTGTTCACCTGTCTGCCTGTTCACCTGTCTGCCTGTTAACCTGTCTGCCTGTTCACCTGTCTGTCTGTTCACCTGTCTGTCTGTTCACCTGTCTGCCTGTTCACCTGTCTGTCTGATAACCTGTCTGCCTGATGTCTCTGCGTGTCCAGCCTGCGGCCAGCCATCCCGCCCTCTCCCCCCTCAGGTGAAGCGGATTGTGGGCGGTCGTAGCGCTGAGCCTGGCTTCTTCCCCTGGCAGGTCCTGCTCAGTGTGGAGGACCTGTCCAGGGTCCCAGAGGATCGCTGGTTCGGCTCTGGGGCCCTGCTGTCGGAGTCCTGGGTCCTCACAGCTGCCCACATCCTGCGGTCCCTGAGGAGGGACACCAGTGTCGTTCCCGTGGCCGCTGACCACGTCAAGGTTTCTGAAGTTCTCTCCTGTATCTGTGATCAGCTTTGTGTCTCTGCCAAACCGTGGGACGGATGCTTATCGGCTGTAAGTGACCTGCTTGTTCTGTCCTTCAGGTCTTCCTTGGTCTCCATGATGCCAGAGACAAACGTCGGGCCACCAACCTCTCCGTAGACCGGATCTTCCTCCACCCGGACTTCCAACCCAACAACTACAACAACGACATCGCCCTGCTGAGGCTGAGTGAGCGGGTGGAGTTTAACCAACTCATCCGTCCAGTCTGTCTCCCACTGCCTCACACACAGGTGGGTCACAGCTCCAGCTGAGTCTGCACAAAGCCGTGTTCACTTAGGTGTGATCTCCCAACACAAAGGTCAGAGGTCACAGGGAGAGGACCTCTGAGCTGACAGACACAAAGGTTATCAGACAGACATGTTAACAGACAGAATTAAAATCCTTGTAAGAGACTGAAAATGTAAAACTAATAATAAAAGTCTGCTTTATAAAAAACTAGAATGACTTTAAAAGGATCTCAGTGATTAGGTGGAGTTAGCTTTCCTGAGCTCTTCAGGCAGGAAGACCCGGTTAAGGCCTCCTTACCTGTACAGGTGTCCGTGAGTCTGCCAGAGTGTGCTTGGCAAAGTCGGGGTAAAAACAAAGCATGGTGCTCAGCAGCAGTGCATGAACGTGAAGCCGAACCTCACCTATGCTGAGCTTGCTCCAAAGGTCAGCTGGTCCCCTCATTAAAGACGGGGGGAGGAGCTACTCCTCGACACTGAGGCTGTGTCCCATTTCAGGGTCTGCACGCTTGAAGTACGCATTTCAAGTGCGGTTACGTCACCGCCACACGACGACGGCTGTCCCAATTCGAAGTGTGCTTCAAATGCTCCCCCCCCCAACCGGTCGCAGCAGATGGCCCCGCCCCTCCCTGAGCCTGGTTCTGCCGGAGGTTTCTTCCTGTTAAAAGGGAGTTTTTCCTTCCCACTGTTGCCAAAGTGCTTGCTCATAGGGGGTCATATGATTGTTGGGTTTTTCTCTGTATCTATGAAGCGCCTTGAGGCGACTTATGTTGTGATTTGGCGCTATATAAATAAAATTGAATTGAATTGAAATGCATACTCCAAATCCGCCGTCGATTTCCCCAAATATCAAGCGTGGTCCGGTGCACGCTTTGTGGTCCCATATATCCCACAATTCAGAGCGCGGCGGTGGGTGTGGATTATTTTGCCGCAAAATACGGCAGACGGGAGCGGCCAAAGAGGTTTTTTTTTTGTTTTTTTCCCAAACTTTATTGAAATTATAAAGCGAACAGTCAGTCATTCCAGTTCAGTTTGTACAGTAGACATACAAGGCAAATAAGAGTAACAATATACAGTACAATGAAATAAATAAAGGATAAAAAAGGAAAAAAAAGGGGGGAATGTGACAGACTTCATAACAACTTTGTACTTGAAAGTTGTGACAGCTCATTCGTTGAACATTTCTGAATGAATTTCAATCAATGATAAACCTTTTATATCGGAAGTTAATTTAAGAGAGTTTAAGTAATATTCAATTTCAATCAAAAACAAATTAAATGATGGGGTTGAGTTTTGAAATTTACATTTATGTATGTGGCATTTCCCTAATAAGATGGAGTGGCCGAAGAGTGAACTGTCAAAAGTACTGAATATGACGTCACTCATTTATGTGCCAATGTGTAATAATTAAAGTCAGTCATATATCCACAAACACAACAAGCTGAAAGTCAGTGATATATATACATATATATATATATATATATATATATATATATGTGTGTGTGTGTGTGTGTGTGTGTGTGTGTGTGTGTGTGTGTGTGTGTATATATATATATATATATATATATACACACACACACACACACACACCCAGCACGCCCCTGCGGGCGGTTTATCCTTCAAGCTCGGGTCCTCTACCAGAGGCCTGGGAGCTTGAGGGTCCTGCGCAGTATCTTAGCTGTTCCCAGGACTGCGCTCTTCTGGACAGAGATCTCCGATGTTATTCCGGGATCTGCTGGAGCCACTCGCCTAGCTTGGGAGTCACCGCACCTAGTGCTCCGATTACCACGGGGACCACCGTTACCTTCACCCTCCACATCCTCTCGAGCTCTTCTCTGAGCCCTTGGTATTTCTCCAGCTTCTCGTGTTCCTTCTTCCTGATATTGCTGTCATTCGGAACCGCTACATCGATCACTACGGCCGTCTTCTTCTGTTTGTCTACCACCACTATGTCCGGTTGGTTAGCCACCACCATTTTGTCCGTCTGTATCTGGAAGTCCCACAGGATCTTAGCTCGGTCATTCTCCACCACCCTTGGGGGCATCTCCCATTTTGACCTCGGGACTTCCAGGTTATACTCGGCACAGATGTTCCTGTACACTATGCCGGCCACTTGGTTATGGCGTTCCATGTATGCCTTGCCTGCTAGCATCTTGCACCCTGCTGTTATGTGCTGGATTGTCTCTGGGGCATCTTTACACAGCCTGCACCTGGGGTCTTGCCTGGTGTGATAGACCCCAGCCTCTATGGATCTTGTACTCAGAGCTTATTCTTGTGCTGCCATGATTAGTGCCTCTGTGCTGTCTTTCAGTCCAGCTTTGTCCAGCCACTGGTAGGATTTCTGGATATCAGCCACCTCCTCTATCTGCCGGTGGTACATACCGTGCAGGGGCCTGTCCTTCCATGATGGTTCCTCGTCTCCCTCCTCTTTCTTGGGTTTTTGCTGCCTGAGGTATTCACTGAGCACTCGGTCAGTTGGGGCCATCTTCCCAATGTATTCTTGGATGTTCGTTGTCTCATCCTGGACTGTGGTGCTGACACTCACCAGTCCCCGGCCCCCTTCCTTCCGCTTAGCGTACAGCCTCAGCGTGCTGGACTTGGGGTGAAACTCTCCATGCATGGTAAGGAGCTTTCTTGTCTTTATGTCAGTGGCTTCTATCTCCTCCTTTGGCCAGCCTATTACCCCAGCAGGGTACCTGATCACGGGCAGGGCGTACGTGTTGATGGCCCGGATCTTGTTCTTACCATTCAGCTGACTCCTCAGGACTTGCCTGACCCTCTGCAGGTACTTGGTGGTTGCAGCCTTTCTAGCGGCCTCTTCATGGTTCCCATTCGCCTGCGGGATCCCCAGGTACTTGTAACTGTCCTCTATGTCTGCAATGTTGCCTTCTGGTAGTTCAATCCCCTCAGTTCTGACTACCTTCCCTCTCTTTGATACCATCCGACTACACTTCTCCAGTCCGAACAACATTCCAATGTCATTGCTGTATAGCCTGGTAGTGTGGATCAGTGAATCGATGTCTCGTTCACTCTTGGCATACAGCTTGATGTCATCCATGTACAGGAGGTGGCTGACAACTGCTCCGTTCCGTAGTCGGTATCCGTAGCCAGTCTTGTTAATGATCTCACTGAGGGGGTTCAGGCCTATGCAGAACAGCAGTGGGGACAGAGCATCTCCTTGGTAGATCCCGCACTTGATGGTGACTTGTGCTATGGGCTTGGAGTTGGCCTCTAGTGTTGTACGCCACATCCCCATTGAGTTCCTGATGAAGGCTCTTAGGGTCCCATTGATCTTGTACAATTCTAGGCATTCCAGTATCCAGCTGTGGGGCATTGAGTCATAGGCCTTCTTGTAATCAATCCAGGCAGTGCACAGGTTGGTCAGTCTGGTCTTGCAGTCTCGGCTGATTGTTCTGTCTACCAGTAGCTGGTGTTTTGCGCCTCTGGTATTCTTGCCAATTCCTTTCTGTGTCCCACTCATGTATTGACCCATGTGCCTGTTCATCTTAGCCGATATGATGCCTGACAGGAGCTTCCATGTAGTACTGAGGCAGGTTATTGGTCGGTAGTTGGAGGGGACCGGCCCCTTCTTGGGGTCCTTGGGGATCAGGACCGTCCGGCCTTCGGTTAGCCATTCCGGGTGTCTCTCGTTAACTAGCAGCTGGTTCATTTGTGCTGCCAGACGCTCGTGGAGTGCAGTCAGCTTCTTCAGCCAGTAGGCGTGAACCATGTCGGGCCCTGGTGCTGTCCAACTCTTCATACTGGAGACCCTTTCTTGGATATCTGCCACTGTGATGGTTACTGGACCCTGTTCAGGGAGGTCGCTGTGGTCTGCCCTCAGATCCACTAGCCACTGAGCATTGCCGTTATGGGTTGCGTCCTTCTCCCATATGCTCTTCCAGTATTGCTCCGTCTCCAGCCTTGGTGGTGCTGTTCTCTTATTATTGTTCCCTTGCCACTGAGAGTACACCTTTGCTGGTTCTGTGGAGAACAGCTGGTTTATTCTCCTGCCTTCTATCTCTCTGGTGTACCTCCTCAAGCGGCTGGCCAAGGCTGTGAGTCTTTGCTTGGCAGTTTCCAAGGCCTCAGGTATGGACAGCTTGCTGTATTTCTTATGCACCTTCTTTGTCGCACCTTTCTGCAACTCCGTTAGTTGGCTAACCTCCCTCCGTGCTACTTTGATCTTGCCCTCTAGCCTCCTTCTCCATGGAGGGTACTGCCCCTTGTGGCTGTTCAACTTGTAGCCAAGCATCTCACTGATCACTGCTGCCGTATTGTAGATCAGCTTGTTAGTGTCAGTAATCGTGGTTGTAGGTATTGTCCGTAGTGCTGCATTAACATCATCTAGCAGACCTTCTGAGGGTACTTTACGTAATCTTGGTAACCGGCTACGGGGGATCCAAGTTTCAAGCTTGGCCATTATCCTTTTTTTCAGGTCAGTTCCTCTCGCACTCAACGATCCTTCTCCTATCGCACTTGGGGCTATGTACCCAATCTCGGGTGGGGGTGATGATATCTCCCCCCTGACCTGGCGTCCTGACTCCTCCTTGCCGTAGCATTTGTGTTGTACCTCGTCAATCTCTAGCTGTGAGAGCAGTCCCTTCTTTCGAATGTTGGAACACTGAGCTACTAGTTGTTTCGCCGTCATTGTGGATGTTGGGTATCGAAGAATCCATAGGTCCGTCATCCTATTCATGTAGCCCCTGCCGCCGGGGTTACTTGCGTAGTAGCATTCCAACAACGCCCTGTTTTCGTCTCTTGCCCACCGATGCCTTCTTGTTCCAGTAGCCCACTTTTCGTCAGGGTGCCCTGGTTCCTCAACACCTGACGCGGACCTTGTTGATCCGGGCGACGCCTTCATATTTATCTGTCTCGCTCATGTCTGCGGTAGGCTCTCTTAGCATAGGGGGTCTAGCCTTAGGACCCTTACTGGATACAGACGCCCAAGGCAGGAATCGAACTTGCGATCCTGGGTTCCAAAGGCGTGTAGTCTAACCACTACAAGATATATATATATATATATATATATATATATATATCTCTGACAATACTATAACATTGGCCATATTATATTTACATTAACACAGTGAGATGATTTTAGTCTCATGAACAACATTAGCTAATTGTTATTTACTAACTAATCTTAAATGACTGTTCAGCAATGACGTCTCAGACACGTCTGCTTTGGGCTCGATGTGGACACGTTTGCTTTATTTCTAGTATTTTTGAATCACATGTTTCTTTATTTTTACTGGTGATGTCATCGCCTGTTTGAGGCAGTGAGATCAGATCGACTAAGGATGTAAATATTTTACTGATCTGTCTGCTGCTTGATCTCTGACCTCTGTCTTTACCCCAGGATGACCCCCTGGCACCTCCCCCCAACTCTCTGGGTGTGGTTGCTGGTTGGGGAATCTCCAACCCCAATGCCTCTGCTTCTTCCTCCCCCTCATCCACTCTGACCTTTGACCCTGTGTCGGACACCGACCTCGAGATGACCTCTGACCTCCTGCAGTATGTGAAGCTGCCTGTGGTCTCCCAGGCCGAGTGTGAGGCGAGCTACGCCTCGCGCTCCGTCAGCTACAACATCACTGACAACATGTTCTGTGCCGGCTTCTTCGAGGGGGGGCGGGACACCTGCCTAGGGGACAGCGGGGGTGCATTTGTAATGGAGGACGAGGTCAGCCGGAGGTGGGCGGTGTTTGGGTTGGTGTCCTGGGGTGGACCAGAGGAGTGCGGGAGTCTGAGAGTGTATGGAGTCTATACCCGAGTGGCCAAATACGTGGAGTGGATACAGAGCCACCTTCACGCTGCCCCCTGGTGGTGATGCTGGGTTTTTTAACACTTTGTTTTTATTGGTAGTTTTGTATATTTTTTACAAAACATTCAGACATTAACAAGTACAGAGCACTAGGCTTGCAAAGATGCATTAAAAAAAAGGTATCCATTTATGGTACAATCAAATCAAACAGGTGAATTACAGCGATGATACTTTTGGTACCAGAATTTATAATATTTTTCCATTCAAGTAAAGGTCCCATTTTTTCCATTACTTCTCAAATTTATCAGCAGCAAGTCTTAATGAAAAAGTCTCTCCATTGTGTAAATTTCCTTGGTAATGCCTATCCAGTCCAAAAATGACGGTGGAGCCACGTTTAGCCATTTGCGAGTTATGGCTTTCTTTGCACCAGCCAGTAGTTTTAATAAAAGGTATTTGTCCGATTTCCTCAGTCCTTGGTATGAGGGGAAACATCAGCGAAAGGCCTGCTCAAAATGACACCCTTGAGCGACAGTTGGAAAACATCGCGGAACGGATCACTGCAGTTGTGAGGTCTCAGAATCAAAAGACTGACAACACCATGGAACAGAAGTTTGATACCATCATGGGGAGGCTCACGGCTCTCCAACGGGAGATCGAGGGACCAGTGTCAGAGGGCTAAATTTGAGCTGCTCACAAAGGAGAAATCAACAATATTCAACATTTGGACACCACGGCGCCAGCTGCTAGGCCCAAGGCTGGAGCCCACCAAAACAACTCCCAACTCCCTGATAACGACTGTGTGATGACTATTCTTCCCGTCCCATGAAGGCCACCTGGGTTGGCTGGCAGACTGTTTACTTAGCCTGATAGAGCGAAGGACACTGTCTCCGCTGAACTATGGACATGCACACACATACACTTACACTGATAGGCACACACTCATCCCCCCTCCCTTTCCAACGCCTTCGATGCTTGTTTCCGGCGAGGGAACACGGCGGGTCTGTGTGCCGCGCTGGAATGGTAGCGCTGTGCAGGGTGGCTGCTGTGTTTCTTCGGATTACTCCTCACCCCCCACCCACCCCTGTGGCTTGTCATGTCTTCACAATGTTGTGCTGTGGACATTTATGTGCTTTTTTGTGCAAAGGAGTTTTTTGTTTCCTGTTCTCATGCTGTCCTACCATGGAAGCACAGTATGAGTAGGGGTCTCTTTTTTCCTCTTGTACTTTCCCCACTGTAGTGTACATTTCAATGTTTTTTCTCTGATTCTACCAATCTCCGACCTGTATCCCCATGTAATGTTTGTGCTATATGTGTAAGGTCGGGGGGGGGGGTCCCATTTCACTGCAGGGCAACCTGCATGTGACGAATAAAGCTTTGATTGAAGATCATTCCAGCAGTCAGACAGTCAGACAGCTACTGATTTGATATTTTTTATTTTGTTTACTAGAACGAGAGCCCGCCTCACATCATCGTGAGTTTGTCCGTTTCGAACAAAGCCTGTTTGATCTGTATCTGCTAGTTCTGAAGTTATAAATTCCAACTGTTTAGCTAATAGTGTTGCAAATATCCTGTAGTCAATATTCACGACTGATATGGGTCTGTAGGAACCACGTTCTGTTTTGTTCTTACCCGGTTTGGGAATTACTGAAATACCTGCTCGTTTCCAGGATGGGGGTATCTCCCCCTGTAAGCACATGGTTAAAGCAAACCCTCAGCAGAGGGGCTACGAGATCTCTGCTTGTACCACTCTGCCGGGTAGCCGTCCTCACCGGCCATCTTATTTGAAACGGCCTGGTTAATCTCCTCCGCAGTTACTGTTGGTGTTAATCTTTTATTTTGTTCCTATCGATGGTAAATCAAGGAAAGAAATGCATTAACAGAGGGCACATCTGTCGTGGTGGGTTCTGCGTACAGTCGGGTATAATAGGTCACAAAAGATTCTTTATGCTTTTCATGTCATATCTTATCATTTGCTGGGTTTTTAATTCTCTGAATAAATCTGTCAGCCTGCTGTTTCCTCTTGGCTTCTTGGATTTGGGACCATTTTCATAATAATTCTGCATGAATTTAGCCCTTTTCTCTATTTGGTCATCATATAACCTGTTTAATATCTGTTGTGCTTCTTTCATTTGTGATAAGGTGTCATCATTGTTACTTTTCAATGAGGTCTTTTAGATGTTTCTCTGTTTCCTTTTTTTATATGAGGACCACAAAACTAGATTCCCTCTAAGAACTGCCTTCGCTGCATCCCATAAAATACTGAGGAGAAACATCACCATTGTTATTATAGTCCATGTATTCCTTAAATTCTTCTTTTACAAACCTTTTGAATTTTACATCCTTTAGTAGACCAATATGAAGCGTCCATGAGTGCAGATGGAGTGTCAGGTACACGCCTGCATGGTCCGAAATATCTCTCAGCCCTATATCACAATTTACAATCCTGTGCTTATCAAAGTGTGACATAAAAAATAGTCCAGTCTTGAATACATATGGTGGGAATGTGAAAACCAACCCTTCTTCTTAAGCATCCTTTTAACATATAGAGCTTCTGATTGTGACACTTTAGTTTTACTGGACGTGTCCAGAAATGGATTCAAGTGAATATTCCAATCTCACCACATATTAATACGCCTGATGTTTCTGTTGCAATTAATTCAAAAAGGGTCCTGATCAGATCTTTATCAGTCCCTGGCCGTCTGTACACATTAAACATGTAACTTCCTTGTGATCTGTGTACCCTTTAGCCAGCATATAACGCCCCTCCTCATCTCTGATTTGTGAGGAAAGCTGGAAATGTACTTTGACAATAAGGCCACTCCTCTAGAATGTTTTTTTTTATATGTGAGGAATAATACAGATTTTAAACCCCATTTTACACAATTTTTTGTGCTCGGTGGCAGAAAGATGTTTCCTGCCAGAAAATGGTAAATGGTCTGTATTTATATAGCGCTTTACACATCCATTCACACGCACATTCATCCACACATTCACACACTGGTGATGGCAGCTACATTGCAGCCACAGCCACCCTGGGGCGCACTGACAGAGGCGAGGCTGCGGACATGGCGCCACCGGGCCCTCTGACCACCACCAGTAGGCAACGGGTGAAGTGTCTCGCCCAAGGACACAACGATCGAGACTGGCGGAGCCGGGCTTGAACCGGCAACCTTCTGATTACAAGATGAACTGCCAACTCTTGAGCCACGGTTGCCCCCCCCCAAAAAAAGAGTCCCAGAGAGCCCCTCGTAGTGCTGCTTGGTAATCTCGGCTCATCATAGCAGCGCTCTTGGAGAAAGCCAGTAACATCCCATAACTGCGGTCAAACCTGTTACTCTTATTTTACAGAGGAGAACTGCAGTCTTAGGTGCGGGGAAAAAATTAGGTGTTACTATCCATACGCTTGAATCTGAGCTTTTCCTGGATGTATTTCATCCGGGTCTGCCGCGGCGCCCCGCTCGCTCTTTCCCAGAATGGCGTCCGCTGCTTGGGTACGGGGATGCGTGGTATTGGGTCGTCTGCTCCCTTTTCCATCAACTTCCTCTTCTCCAGGTCTTCGGATGCGTCGTAAATCACGAGCCCGTTTTCATAAAACACACGCAGTCTGGGACAGTGGCGCGGCTGCCACTTCGTACCTCGCTAAGTAAGTTAGCCGGATTAGATTGTTGACGATTTCGCGTGATCCTGGATCAGTCGGTTCCCCGAAGCTCATCCGGGACTTGCTGTCATAGCAACAGAGCCGTAAGCGTAAACCTGCTCGGGAGCAGGCTTACTTTATGTAAACAGGATTAGATCGCGGCCACGCAGGTATGTCCGCTTCATCTATACGAAAGCAACAGCGATATTCCACCACTGTTTCACCATAAATAAATAACATCAATGTAACTGAAGATAATGCAGCACTTGATCCTTTTATTGATTTCACACAGATACATACAGGTCATTTCCTAAAAAAGGGAAATGTACTATTAACATTCTATTACATGTATGTGATTATTACAGATGTAATTCATATTTCAGAGTAGTAATTGTAAATTACTTCATGTAATCAAGATGAGAGACCACGGCTATAAAAGTGAAGGTGGATTTGGGAAGTCTGTCGCAGCCATGTCCTGTCCGTATACGCGAGCAGCCCATTGCGGAAGGTGCAAGATTGATAAGGAGAGTCCTCAGAATTCAGCGTATATTGCGGGACAGACAGGATCCTTTAGCTCAGCGCGACAGTGTGCTCATAGAGAGCTATCGATATTCCCGTGAGGGTATTATTCACTTAACCAACTTGTTGACGAGGGGGTGCAGGACCACCACCTGTCTTTTTTTGCTCTGCCCTTTTCTTGGTTGCTGTTATAAACAAACAAACAGATTATTCCAGGGTCTCTTTCCAAGAGACTAAAAGCAATATAAGTGATAAATATTACCATTCTGTAGAATATTCTTATATTCCACTTTTACCTGTTCCCATGTTCTAGTGGGTCCTGTTGTGGCTCTAATGTGAAAGGGGATATAATATTACATATTATAATATAATGTAATATAATATTGGATAATATAGTGTAATATAATAAATCTACCCTACCGCCTACTGGTGTTGGCCAGAGGGGCCGATGGCTTCTGTCAGTCTGCCCCAGGGCAGCTGTGGCTACAACCGTAGCTGCCTCCACCAGTGTGTGAATGTGAGAGTGAATGAATAGCTGCATTGTAAAGCGCTTTGGGTGCCTTGAAAAGCGCTATATCAATCCACTCCATTATTATTGTTATTCAGAATCAGAATCAGAATACTTTATTGATCCCTGGGGGAAATTATTTTTTGTTACAGTGCTCCATTTTAAACCAACATTAAGACAAGACAGACAATACGCTAACTAAGAATAGTACAATATATACATATACATACATACATACATAAGTCACTTATAAATAAATAGTTGGAAAAGAAACATGTGTAGTTGTAGCAGCAAACAGTGTGTTAAGTGGATGCGTTGTACAGGGAGCCACAGGCAGGAATGATTTCCTGTGTCGTTCAGTGGTGCTTTTCGGTAATCTCAGTCTCTCACTGAACGTGCTCCTGTGACTGACCAACATGTCATGGAGTGGGTGGGAGGTGTTATCCAACATTGTCTTTATCTTGGACAGCATCCGCCTCTCCGACACCACCTTGAGGGAGTCCAGCTCCATCCCCACAACATTGCTGGCCTTACGGATCAGTTTATTAAGTCTGTTGGCATCTGCGACCCTCAGCCTGCTCCCCCAGCATGCAACAGCATAGAGGATCGCACTGGCCACCACAGACTCATAGAAAATCCTCAGCATTTTCTGGCAGATGTTGAAGGACCTCAGTCGCCTCAAAAAATAGAGACGACTCTGGCCCTTCCTATAAAGTGCTGTGGTGTTTTTAGCCCAGTCCAGTTTATTGTCAATGTGTACTCCAAGGTATTTATAGTCCTCCACAATGTCAACACTGACCCCCTGGATTGAAACAGGGGTCAAGTGTTTCCTGGTCTTCCTGAAGTCCACGATCAGTTCCTTGGTCTTTGCCACGTTGAGCTGCAGATGATTCTGCTCACACCACGTGACAAAGGAGTCGACCACAGCCCGGTACTCTGTCTCATCATCCCTGCTGATGCATCCAACCACCGCAGAGTCATCAGAAAACTTCTGAAGATGGCAGGTCTCTGTGCAGTGGCTGAAGTCTGTGGTGTAGAGGGTGAAGAGGAAGGGGGAGAGGACAGTCCCCTGTGGTGCCCCTGTGTTGCTAATCACCTTGTCAGACACACACTGTGGGAGACGTACATATTGTGGTCTTCCTGTCAGGTAATCAACAATCCAGGACACCAGAGAAGCATCCACCTGCATCGCTGCTAACTTATCACCCAGGAGGGTCGGCCTGATGGTGTTGAAAGCACTGGAAAAGTCAAAAAACATAATTATTAAATTACTTACGAGTTTAATTTGTCAGCAACTTTCTGCCAGCCCTCGCTCCTTGCTTTTGCAGCCTTTGCAGTGTTCTCTTGCGTTTTAATTAAACTCTGAAACTCCTGAAATCCCTCACTCATGAGTTCTTGCTCTGCTGCCGAAAAATACCGAGCCGAGCGCTCTCCTTCGACATTTTCGCCGACCAATCAGCGGGTTGCCGATCAATGTTTCTACTATCGATGCGTAGCCCCTTTTACGACACCCAGTGATCTCACATTACTGCTTCCAGCTGTACTAATCGTCAACAACAGGTGTGTTCGGGGAACCGGATTAGCGAGCTCACGGTTAGCGCGATGGTTTGGTCTTGGATGTAGTAAGCGACGTACGAAGAACGGGCCCCAGGGCCCTGTTTCAGAAAGCCGGTTTAGTGCAAACTCTGAGTAAGTATACCCTGAGTTAACGGAAACTCTGGGTTTCCGGTTTCACAAAGCGAGTTTAGATTGATCCTGAGTGAGTTACTATGACGACACACTCCGTGAAGCTAACCTGCCCCCTAGCAGGTTTACTACAACTAACCCTGACGTTCTCCGCCTCTTTGTCAGAAACCTGACTGTAGGAAGTGTCAGACATGGCGTGCTCCTTCCTTGAAGAGCCAGTAGATGTTGAAGCCCAAATTCTCCGCAGAGCTCACCGCCGGGAGAGAGTGATTAGAGCGCGTTCGGACATTTTATCATTTCCTGATGATTTCCTGTGTGAACGTTACCGTTTTTCAGCACAATCTATAATTTATTTGAAGAACATCCTCAGGCCTAATATTGCTCATGTGACACATCGCGGACATCCTCTCAGTTCTGTACATATTATTTGTATTGCACTTCGGTTTCTTGCAAACGGGAGCTTTCTGTATAATATTGGTGACGCTGAGCACGTTTCCAAGGCTACCGTCTGTCGGGCAGTCAGGAATGTTACAGTTGCACTGAAACGTCTCCTGTACTCGTTTGTGGTGTTCCCCGGTCACAGACCCACAAGATTTATCAAAGAGGGATGCCACAAAATTGCAGGTATCAGGATGAACGAAACTTAATTCATGATGTGGTGATACTTGAACTACTACTTAAATTTTACATTTATTCCCACGGTTCCCAGGCGTGATTGGCTGTATAGATGGCACTCACATTCCAATCATTGCTCCTTCAGTAAATGAAGGAGACTATGTGAACAGGAAGTCTTTCCACAGCATTAATGTACAGGTACATAGTTCCCTGTAGCATTTCAAACTAACAAATTATTTCATTATAGTAATGGATGCTAATTTGTGTTCTCTGCACTGTGAAGATCATATGTGATGCTGCCAACATTATCACAAATGTGGAAGCCAACTGCTCAGCCTCTGTGAGTGGTGGTGGTGGAGGACCCCCACCTGTTTTTCGGGCCTCCGCTTTTTTTCTGTTGGCTATAACGGGTCACATTTGAGCATACAGAGTAAGCAAATATGTACTTGTAATGTGCTCAGATAATTTCAATAAGTGCTTACAGAGGGGAAATTAATGTAGCCTCTAACTGCAATTGATTTACATCGGACAAACAGACCAAGCACTATGGCTCGTAATACAATTACACCTTACCTGTTTGGACTATATTTTTATATTTCATTTTTACTTGCTGCCAGGAACGTTTGAGGCCTGTTGGGTTGCACCTGCGCTCACATCACATGACAAAATAAAATGTATAAAATACAAAATAAAATATAATAAAATAACGTGTTAAATGGGTGGAAATCCCTCGATCAATGTTTAAATTAACACTCACGCATTGACTCTGTCGGCTATGTTTTGCCATGCATGCTCACTTTCTTTTGCAGCTGAGGCTGTGTTACTTTTTTCCGCGGAATTTGCATGTTATCGGCATATGCTGCCATCAGAATTTCGGCCTCAAGCGCTGTGACATACATTGACCGCGCCTTCTTTCCCTCCGTCTCCATGGTGACTCGCTTAATCTGTGCTCCACTAATCAGGGCTTTATGTATCCTCGTGCGCGCGCTTAACTTGGGGTTAAAGCAACTCCGCGTTGACTGAACTAATTGTTATCAGCCTTTCTGAAACCGAATATTCCGAGTTGGACAGTTCGGGGTTACTCAACCCTGCGTATCGTTTTTCACTCTGAGTTTTCTAAACCGGCTTCCTGAAACAGGGCCCTGGTCTTGCTCCACAATCGGTGTTCCTCTTATTCTCATGCAAAGCTCTGTAGTGCCTAAGCATGGATGAGGTGTTGTTGTTATATCCCAGCTCCCTGGCACATAGCAAACACTTCACCTTGTACAAAAGTCAAGACAGCTCAACATAAATTGTATTGCACCATCAGTATCATGAAAATACATCGTCTGTAGAAATTTACATACTTTGTTGGGAGGAATAAGATCAAAATGTTCCCACACAGGGGAGGACATCCTCCTCTTCTTAGCTGGCTCCATTCTCTCCTGACTTTCTCTCCTCACTCTCATAAACCTCCAAACTGTCTCCAAACTCTCACTAACAACTCTCCATCAAACACCCACATTTTTGAATGAAGTCTGAGGGGTTTATATTGCTGTCATATCTCGCGGCAAAGTTCGAACCACTTCATGAACCAGTCACGTGGTACAGCCGGGCAGCGAGGCTTCGGACGTCATCATTTTCAGCTCCTCCCATAAATGAAGCAAGCCTCGATACGCGCTTCGCGGAAACGCCCCCTCCATTACTCGACACACGCTCCGAAGCCTCGATACAGAACGTCCCATCACTATTGAATTGCTCACCTTGGAAACCTAAAATGTCTGCATAGTCTGCTTCCCTACCACCTTCCTTGACGTTCGAGTCTGACTACTTCACACCTGTGAATGACTGCCAGGCCCATTATGTAACGCGCTGCTCATGTTATGGCACGATGCTTTATGATGCAACATTGTTTTGTTTCATTGCTGTGTTTATGTGGGAGGCACTCAAAAGCTCTTATTAAAGAACCAAAATCAACATGTTTGCACAACAATGATGACATGATCTGTTTACTGTAACAGCAACATTCAGATATTACTGCTTAGACCTGCATTCAATCTAATGTCCAGCAGGGGGCGACTGCTCTGGTCTGATTGTCTGAAGTCTGTAGGAAATGAAATGATCTGAAGGGTTTGTGGTCTCAGCTGCTGGGTTCACAGCTTATCCAATAACAGTGAAAATGATCATCCAGGACGATAAAAGCCTATTTTTACCGAGCGTGCAGCGTCGCCTGGTCAGCTCGGCCCCTTCACTCTTCCTGCCAGGTCTCAAAAATGTTTGAAACCTGAAAAACAACCTCAAAGACCAATATGTGACATCACAGTGACCATCTCATATGTATAGTCTGTGCATGTATGTACCCACAGGTGTGTGAATCAAACATCATCCAGGAACATGAAGAGAAGCTTACACACGTTGTTTATTTGGTGAATTTTGCTCCTTGACATTTATTCATAGACAAACACAGCAACAGATTTACTGCATGCTCCTTCACAGCATTGCTTTAAATCTCAGGGTGATGCTTCCTCTGTGGTATTAAAGTACTCACTATGCATACTCGCTGTACTATTACTGCAGCAGATCCCTTTATGGCGTCAGTGTGGCAGCAGTGTTCAGAGTCGGTTTGAAGGTGGTTGCAGCTCACTCGGTATCCCATAATCCCCTCACATGAAACCGGGCACGCTTGGCTCTCGGGGCTTCACGGGCTCCCAGTGCCGTTCACGTCCCGTCTCTCCATTGTGTCTCGGATCCAGTTGAGGAAGTTGCCCAGTCGGGTGTAGACACCGTACTTGCCACGGGCGGCACATTTCTCCCCCCAGCTGACGACCCCGGTCAGGAACCAGGTCCCCCTGTAGTTCACCACAAACGGCCCTCCGCTGTCCCCGCTGCAGGCGTCCTTACTGGCCTCCAGGTAACCTGCGCAGTACATGTTGTCTGTGATCACCTGCAGGAAACACAGGAGGGGCTGGGCATCAGGGCAACGTGGGAACGGCTGCGTCTCTATCGCTGACCCTGGTCTGGTTTGATTTGGTCATAGACGGTATCGCTCGAGTGAACAGCACACCTGAGACGGGGCAGATTTACATGTACACCTGTACACAAACAATGCTGACAGCAGATGCTGTGCATCATGTTCAGGTGTCCACAGTCTGCTTAGTGCAGGATTCAAACACGTTACAGAGAGCACACCTGTTCATCCAACAGTTCTTCCTGTAAGGACACATGAACAGGTGTGCTCTTTATCGTCCTCTACGACCCCAACTGTCGTTCAGCAGTGCTGCTCGCCGAAGCAGTTTCCACCCTCGTTTCATTTTGTAGAGATGACACTACTACACTCAGTAATCAGATTACAGTTACTTTTAGAAAAGGTCATTACTTGTATTAAGTATGACGAATGTGCAGCAGTCCCCTGCTAACATGCTAACCTGTGGACCTCCATCCAAAAACTGTCCAGCCCGTCGGTGTTCACCACGAACGTGGCGGTCTATCGACAGCGGGCGTACCAGGTAACCCTCTAAGTAGCCCCCCCGGATCCTCTGATAAACAGTCTAGTTTATCAGAGGATGCAGCAGCTTTTCTAACGTTTACGTCACCTGTTGCTGTGTTGCTGCTCTTTCTCAAACACTAAGTATAGATCAGCAGTTGCTGCGGGGTTGGGCTCAGACGCTCAGCTGATCACCTGCTCGGTGGTGCTGATGCAGTCTTTGTAGCCGACCACTGGGAGTGTCACCTTCCTCAGGAACCTCGAGGAGCGGCCCAGGTACTCGGTGGCCCCCCAGCCCGTCACCACGCCGTGGTTGTCCTCCTGGGCACACGGACACAGTCGGCATCAGACAGATGGGCTAAGTCAGCTGCAGCACTCATCATTTCCGATGAAATTACCTTCAGCAGGTATTTGGAGAGGTGGGTGTCGGGGAGGCAGGCGGGGACTGCGGTGGGGCCCTTCTGAACAGGCCGGGCGAGATAGAGCAGAGCGAGGTCGCTGTCGAAGGTGAAGGCGTGGAAGTGAGGATGAATGATGACCTTCTGGATCTTTATCTGCTGCTCGCCTGGATCGGGACGCTGCTTGTCGTAGTCACCTGCAGACACACACACACTCAGAAAACCCAGCTCACACACACATTCCTGCGCTCAGACTGAAGGGACAGCATCGATGAACCGAGATGCCGCAATCGCTGCTGCAGCCAGCAGAGGGCACATACCTGAGTGTAGTGGTTTTACAGACGTGCAGAAGCCTACACAGATGTGTGAACAGTGTCTGATTAGCATTCAAAGTATGCGCGTTTACATGAGCACCCCTGCTGCTCTGCCGCTCACAGTGGGTGAGGTCCACTGTAAACCACCGGCCTCACCTATCGTAATGTGGTCTGCAGACTCTTCAAAGCAGTGAGCGGCAGAAACGACCCATCGGTCAGATACCAGAGTCCCTCCGCAGAAACCGAAGCCGTCAGACCTGTGGATCAGAACCTGAACAGAAACGCTCAGAGTCAGCACGTTCACACAGCTCAGAACAAGGTTCTGCTTCGTTATTCCACTGATCCCTCCAAACCTGCCAGGGGCTCCCTCCTCTCCTCTCCAGGGATCCACCCACAACACGAGGCTGCATCTCGCTACCTCCTGCCCCTCCACTGTCCGTCAGGTTCCCTCCTCTCCCTGTTGCGTTCGCTGTCCACACCTCTGTTGAATTAAGTTCAGGTAGCCAGCTGTCTGTTGCATTGTAATCCCACGTGGCATCGTCTGTCTCCAAGGAACTCAGCAGAGAGCGACCTCGATCCAAAGCCTCCATCTGCTGACGGCCGCAGGGGAACGCCACTGAGCAGGAACGGGAAAGAAAGATCACGAAATCAGCTCAGATTAGCCGTGAGACCAACAAAGACACAGACATGAATATATGAATAATGATTAACACCAGTGCATCATGGGAATTCCCCAGCATAACTAAGGGAGGATTCAGGGTCACCTGGTCCAGCCCTAACTATATGCTTTAGCAAAAAGGAAAGTTTGAAGCCTAATCTTGAAAGTAGAGATAGTGTCTGTCTCCTGAATCCAAACTGGAAGCTGGTTCCACAGAAGAGGGGCCTGAAAACTGAAGGCTCTGCCTCCCATTCTACTTTTAAATACTCTAGGAACAACAAGTAGGCCTGCAGAGCGAGAGCGAAGTGCTCTAATAGGGTGATATGGTGCTACAAGGTCATTAAGATAAGATGGGGCCTGATTATTTAAGACCTTGTATGTGAGGAGCAGGATTTTGAATTCAATTCTGGATTTAACAGGAAGCCAAAACAGGAGAAATCTGCTCTCTCTTTCTAGTCCCTGTCAGGACTCTTGCTGCATTTTGGATTAGCTGAAGGCTTTTCAGGGAGTTTTTAGGACTTCCTGATAATAATGAATTACAGTCGTCCAGCCTGGAAGTAATAAATCCCGTCTGCACTTACTGTAGTATTATGTGCAGTAATACTAATACAATGTGGGTCCTGGGAGTGTTACCGGTCTTGGAGCAGCTCTGTCTGTCACTCTCTAGGAAGTATCCGTCAGCACAGCCACACTGAACTCCAGCGCCACCTGCCAGGTCTCTGCAGTACTGCATACAGCCACCATTTCTATAGTGGCACTCCAACACCACTACCCAAGGCAATTTTCATAAATATTTCATTTGTCAGGTGTCATTTGCTCGATTTAAAGGTGGTGTACCTGAGTTTCAGGTGTTTGTTACCTGTGTTGCAGATCTTGCCCTGATACTGGGGAGGACAAAGACACGTGAAGTCTCCTCGGTCCAGGGTGCACATGCCTCCGTTCAGACAGGGGTTGGTCCCACAGGGGTTCAGATCTAAGACACACAGGTGAGGAACTCAGCTGAGTCATTGGTAGAAGACACCTGATAAGATTTCAGACTGTAGTCAGACTAAAGCACATCCAGCTGAGCTGCCACAAACTGAGTGACTGGGTTGTTCGTACTCACTTGTGTATCTGTACCAAAACTCCATCTGTGGGACAAGGACTCAGAGTTAGTGACTGCAGCTGTGGTTATGTTGAACGACTGTGTAAGAGTCTGCAGACACGACAACGCTCTGCATCCTGTGTGTGCGCAGCTAAGCTGATCTCCTGCTCTGTAATCGTCCTGATTCGTGTCCGGGATGAATGAGGGTGATGTTTTCTGATGACTTCCATCATTTCAGCTGCTTCCTCTACACACACTCTGCTAGCTACACACCCTTGACTAGAACTACGTCGAAATCCTTATTTAAGCATTTAGCTCCACCCGCTGAGGGTCAGGTTTTGGGCCCAGCATCATCAATCAGGACGAAGCGGCCCTCTCTGGGTTAGCACGGGTCTGTGGTGCTGACTTTGCTTTAATATATGTTTAAATAAAGTAACACGGTGGTAATCTCCTGCTGCGTGGGCGGCGGTGGGCTTCGTACCGTCTTCTCCTGGGTCTGGAAGATCTCTGTGGCCTCCTCCAGTGAGCAGCGCTCCTCGTAACACTCCCGCTCCAGGTTCCCGGGCAGCATCTCCTCCAGGAAATGCGAGTTGGCTCGTCGCCTCCTGGAGGAGGAGCGCAGGATCTGGCCGGCCGCCGACCGATCCAAGAACACTGAGGGGTGGACAGAAAAACGGAAACACTCAGACTGTGCCGCAGAGGCGGAAAACACGAGCGTGGGTGTGTCTCACCTGAACACTGGATGAGCGCAGAGCAGACGAGCAGAGCGCCAACGCTCAGAGTCACGGCTGTGGACGGCAGCATGTCTGTCCGACGGCTGCGGGCAAAATGGAGGATGGAGGAGCAGCTGACGGATTGATGGTTAACCACAGCTCAAATATTGACACGCAGATGTCACATCAGCCGCAGAGACGACAACACGTCTGAACTCTGTTCTGCTGGAGTATTTTCATTGCTGACCTGTAAAGGTGAAAAGGTCAAAGGTCACAGCACCTTTTGATGATCCTGTAGGAAGCAGCTGTTCATGAAAATATTCCAAAGGCTTAAGAGGAACGGAGCCAACTCTGGAATAACCTTCAGAGCACCGACAGCGACACGTGCAGGGCCTGCTGAACAGAGTACACGCGGTACTGCAGTATCTGTACTGCAGTACAGATACTTAGAAGTAAACGTGGAGGTAAATGGACTGTGTGGAAATGAAACAACCTTGCCTTTGATTCAAAACAATGGCGATGAGCAAGCTAGCACACAGCTAAGGAGCACAGATGACATGACCAAGAAAGTAGACTCTGTGCATTATTATAAATCCTCAAGTGATAATCCCCCCTTAGACTGTCTTGGTGCAAACCAAGACATAAATCATGTCTCCAGGAAGGGGGAGGACGTATCACGGGCAGGGCACAGCGAGCTGAAATCTCTGAAACCGACTGGCCTTCACTTCCTACGAGACAGAGAAGCTCTTCTACCCCTGTATACGAGAGGAAACAGGACTGGACAACCGTGAATAGGAAGGTTAACAACAAACCTCCAAAACAACTGAATGTGAAACTGCAGAACAGATTTGCTCCACTATCAAAGGACCCTGGATCTATATCGGACAACCATCCATCTAAAAGCAGCGAAATAAGGTCTGAAAATCTGTTGAAAAGTGAAAGGCCACAGGGAAAGCTAAAGGCTAGGCCTGAAACTCTGATTGTGGGTGACTCTGCCGTAAAGGATGTACAAAGGATGTGCGGTAAGAACACTAAAGTCCTCTGCTTTCCTAACGATATGGTCAACAACCTGAAGGAGAGAATTCTTCAAATTGCAGATGAATATCCAACTGTGACAAACATTGTTCTGCATACAGGGCCAAACGATGTGTCCAAACAACAGTCGGAGGTTCTGAAACGGGACTTTACTGGATTATTAAATACTGTAAACTCTCTGAATGCAGCTGTATTCATCAGTGGACCTGTACCGCCGGTCAGAGGAGGAGACGAGAGATTCAGCAGGTTGTTTACACTGAATAAATGGCTTATATCAGCATGTGCTGACCACTCAGTGCATTTTATCAACAACTTTAATATTTTTTGGGAACGCAGGCATCTGTTCAAAGCAAATGGATTTAATTTTAACAAGTCAGGGGTGAAACTGTTCACCTCCAACTTGTTTTATTCCATACGTCATCCATCTGTGCTTGGTGCCAAGGCTGAGATAAACGAGGAGTTATCTCATAAAGAGGAACAAACAGTACTCCAAGAACAGACAAAGCCCAGCAGAAACCTTGAGGAGGAGCTCCATCTGCCCCCAGCCGGGAAGAGCCTCAGAAAGGAGAGACATCTAAGGCAAGAAGAGGGGTCCCTATTTGCCTCCAACTCTCTCAACAACACCAACGACCAGGACAAGGGACCACGACCTTCCCCAGTCCCCCAAACCCCTGACAGGCCATCACCCTCCTCCCCCTCCCTTTCTCCCTCCTCCCCACACCTGAAATTCACTGAGGAGATGATGGAGCGGGTCAATGCTGGGCTCAGATCTACCCCCCGTCCCAATCCCTTTTTGTCCCCCATAAACCCCCCACCAGAGCGGCCAAAGGTTCGCCATCGAGCCCCACCCTCAACAGAGCAATCGAAGTCACATTGCCCAGCCTCGCCCCCCTTAGTTCCTCTTCATGCCCTGTCTCCGCAGTCTGATGCGTGATGTGTGAAGGGTCCGGGCTGTGAGGATTATGGCAGTGATGACTTTTCCCAGGAGAAGCTGGGACCCTGTTTACTAGAAGGTTTTAAAATTTCTGTACTTTTAGGTGACAGGAGACATGTGGCCTGGTCAAAACACAGAGAGCTGCACTCTAAAAGATCTTTAAATATAGTAAACATACCTTGTGTGCCACAGACTGCTCCCAAACACGAGGGGACAAGTAATGCCTCTAAAACACTTAAGTTGGCTTTATTAAACGTTAGATCTCTAGCTGGGAAAACATTTTTAATTAATGATTTAATCACAGCCTTGATTTTATGTTTCTAACTGAAACTTGGTTGGACCAAAGTAACAGTGGAGCTGTTCTCATCGAGACGACCCCTCCTAACTACAGTTTTATCAGTGAGGTCAGGGTGAGCAGGAGAGGAGGAGGGGTTGCTGTCTTATTTAATGAATCATTTCAATGTAAGCAGCTATCTCCTGGAAGTTTTCAGTCTTTTGAATATGTGGCTTTACAGCTGAAGGCCCCATCCAAAGTTGGGTTTCTTAATGTTTACAGGCCTCCCAAATACTGCACAGACTTTTTTAATGACCTCAGTGAATCTGTGTTGATTTTGACTGTGTAATTATTGCTGGGGATTTTAACATCCATGTGGACAACCCTCAGGACAAAGGGACTAAAGACCTGAGTAACACTCTGGGCAACTTTGGGCTGACTCAGCATGTAACAGAGGCCACACATAATAGAGGACACACTCTTGACCTACTGATCTCCAAGGGCCTGAGCATTTCGAAGGTTACTGTGTCTGATGTGGGCCTGTCTGATCATTACTGTGTTTTCTTTGAAAGTAAAATCTCAGCCCACACAAATATATCAACAACAGTGATCACAAAACGGTGTATAACTGAACACAGTAGTGCAATTTTTAACCAGGTCTTCCCATTAACACCTGACCTGCCCAGAGGGTCAGTCAATGAGCTCGTCAATAGCTTCAATGCTAACATGTTAAATGTAATGGACACTATTGCTCCCATTAAGGTGAAGGTTATCTCTGAAAGGAAAAAGTCTCCATGGAGAAACTCCACACTGGTGAAAAATGAAAAAAGAGAGTGTAAGAAAGCTAAGCGCAGATGGAGAAGAACAAACCTCCAGGTTCATTATGACATTTATAAAGAGAAACTTCACAATTATAATTTACAACTGAGGAATGCAAGGAGGTCCTACTTCTCTGACATCATCACTAAAAACAGCCATAATGCTCGGGTCTTATTTTCTACAGTTGACAGGCTAACAAACCCTCCTGTGTCAGTGGCAGCTGAACTTCAACCATGGCCTGCAATGACTTTGCCAAATTCTTCACTGAAAAAATCCAAAAAATTAGACAAGCAATTGGTACATCAACAGCAGATCCAGGATATGTACTGTGTCCACCAAAAAACTGTTTAAACACCATGAAACAGTTTCAACCTATTAACAGCAAAGACCTGGAGGACATCTTAGGTAAACTGAACTCCTCCTCCTGCTGTTTAGATGTCCTGCCAACACGTTTTTTCAAAAAGGTCTCAAAGACTTTAGAGTCAGACCTGTTACAGATCGTCAACTTTTCTTTATTATCAGGTGTGTTTCCAGAACCACTAAAAACTGCTGTAATCAAACCTATACTGAAAAAGGACAATCTTGACAAGACACAAATGAACAACTACAGGCCGATCTCAAATCTCCCGTTTTTAAGTAAGATCATTGAAAAAGCAGTTTCTCAACAGCTCAGTTACTTCTTAAAACAGAATAATTGCTACGATGCCTTCCAGTCAGGTTTTAGACAGAACCACAGCACTGAAACCGCTCTGACCAAAGTGTTTAATGACATATGTCTGAATACAGACAGTGGAAAAATGTCAGTCCTAGTTTTACTGGATCTCAGTGCAGCATTTGATACAGTTGACCACAACATATTACTCAAACGACTGGAGAACTGGACAGGTCTTTCAGGAACTGTACTAAACTGGTTCAAAACATACGTAGAAAACAGGAAATACTTTGTATCAATAGGTAACTTCACATCTGAGCAGACAAGTATCACATGTGGAGTTCCCCAAGGTTCCATCTTGGGACCCCTTCTGTTTAACATTTACATGCTCCCACTGGCACAGATTATAAACAACAACAAAATAAACTATCACAGCTGTGCAGATGACACACAAATATATATCACAATGTCACCAGGAGACCGAGGCCCTGTACAGGCTCTTGGTAAATGCATTGAGGAAATCAATGACTGGTTGTGCCACAATTTTCTCCAGCTAAACAAAAACAAAACTGAGGTAATAGTCTTTGGTCCCAAAGAAAAACGATTGCAGGTCACCAGAGAACTTCAATCTATACATCTAAAAACCACAAACCAGGCGAGAAATTTGGGTGTGGTGATGGATGCAGACCTAAACTTAGAAAAACACATTAAGACAATAACAAAGTCAGCTTACTATCACCTCAAGAATATATCAAGGATAAAAGATCTGATGTCTCAACAGGACCTGGAAAAACTAGTCCATGCATTCATTTTTAGTAGGCTTGATTACTGTAACAGCATCTTTACAGGTCTATCTAAAAAATCAGTCAGACAACTACAGCTCATTCAGAACTCTGCTGCTCGAGTCCTCACTAAGACCAAAAAAGTGGACCACATCAGTCCAGCTCTGAGGTCCTTACACTGGCTGCCTGTCCGTCAGAGGATAGACTTTAAAGTTCTGATGCTGGCCTATAAAGCTCTGAATGGTTTAGGACCAAAATACATCAGTGACCTCCTGACCCAGTATGAACCTTCCAGATCCCTCAGGTCATCTGGATCCGGTCTTTTATCAGTTCCCAGAGTCAGAACCAGACACGGAGAAGCTGCATTCAGCTTTTATGCTCCTTATATCTGGAACAAACTCCCAGAAAGCCTCAGATCAGCTGAAACACTCAGTTTATTTAAATCCAGGTTGAAGACTCACCTGTTCTCAGCTGCATTTGAATAAAGCACCAAATCCACACTTTAAGCTTAAATTTCAAAACTTACATTTAACTACTGATTTTATCTACTGTTCTGATTTTATCTGTTTTGATTTTATATACTGTTGTTTGTTTGTTTGTTTGTTTGTTTGTTAATTAGTTAGTTCGTTTATTTGCTTGTTTTAATCAATTTTAAATCATGCTTTTTATTTGTTCTTGTTTCTAATGTCTCTGTAAAGCACTTTGAATCACCTTGTTGTTGAAT